TGGGTGCTAGTGTTTCCACGATCCCAAAAATTTTGTGCGATGTGCTAGGTTTCCGTGAATTTGACGATTGTTCTTTAAATTTGCATCTCGCGGATTCCACCATTAAGAAACCTATGGGAAGGATTAATGATGTTCTTATTGTTGAAAATAGGAATTATGTTTCTGTAGATTTCATTGTTCTTGATATAGATTGCAATCCTACATGTCCTATTATTCTTGGTAGACCTTTCATTAGAACGATTAGTGCAATTATTGACATGAAAGAACGAAATATTAAATTCCAATTTCTGTTAAGGAAAGGCATGGAAAACTTTCCTAGAAATAAAATTAAATTGCCTTATTAATCAATTACTAGTCGCCAACCCGTGCTTTGCACGGGCTAGGGTGCTAATTGTTATGTTTTTATCAATCCCAACAAACAAATGCAACTTGGTACATTTGTATAAGACAATATGTAACCAATGTACAGCAAGGGACATGTTTATTCCTACCGTTTAATGAAACTTGGTACATTTGTATAAGGAAAACTTTGATAAACAGTGTTGCTACATCTCCCGATTGGAGGAGATGACTTTTCTACAGGTGTAAATATGGTAAAACTACCCCGTTTTATAACCTGAGTAGGAGTGCAGATTCTTTTATCGTACTCCCCACTATCTTTTTATTAGATCATGCTTTGGGATAGATATATTTTGTCTTTCTGCAGCATACAACATTGTTATCACCCAGACGGATAAATTGATATAGTTCTTTGGTGATTTCCATAGAAAGAATGTTGTTAACACGCAGACGGATAAATTAATACTAAAATTTTACTAATTGGCTATATGTATGTTGGACATGCATGGAAAGGATTATCTTACCAAAGCTACACACTCGAAGTCGATTCACACAAAAAACACGAATGCAAACGCACACTTGAGGTCGTATCAGATTGCTTTCAAAATTATATTAGATGAACCATGGAAGTTGCCACGTGGATTAGTTCAGAAGCAAATGGGTTTCCTTATCAAACAATGCCTTGATCATAAACAGCAGAATAACTTGTTCATTGTGGGACAGCAGTGGCGCTCACATCTGGCCCCGCAATTGCTCATGACATGCCATTGCTCACTTGACACTGCATCGCTGCATCTTGACTCTTTTTCCGGCTGCTAAAGCAATTATGCACTGGATTGTGTTGTCATGGGACATCTCCCCCACAAACCTGCCATCTCCAGTCATCACGGTAGGATAGTAAGAATACAATAATAGAAGTGATGTAGCAATTGAACATCCATCAAATCTGGATTCACATGCCCATCTAATTAATTAGCTATGCCCAAAATAACCTTATCTAGTGATTTTCATGTGACATTCTCTCTTCTGTCATTTATTTGTAATTGGTGATGATAAAGAATGAGACATGTTGAATTGCTAGGGAAAAAGACTAAAATTAAAATAACAACATGCATAGGCAATTCCTAATAGAGCTCAAGCTCCATGGAGGCCCTAATTTGAAATTTTGAAAAAACTATTTTTTAGGTAAAGAAAGTACACACATACATATGGATGGTCTACTACTTGACTACAAAGTTTCTTGGCGAAATACTTTTTTATGCAAGCTACACAAAAATGACAAAATCGCATATTTCAAGCACATGTACTATTCACTATAAAACCACTTGACTTCTTTTTGTACAGCTCACATCAAAAATTATTTCGTGATGATATTTCACACACATCTAGTCGACATTTTTTGTGTATAGTACTTGTGTATTTAGTAGTTTCACGATAAGTACCTGTATTTATTTGCAGTTTTTCTAAAACATAAAAGGTTATTTTTTTTATTAGCCCAAGAGCAAAAAAATACACTCTCCATGTATATATGTACATTGAGTTGTATATGCTTTTATGGTGAAACTAATGTGCCACAACTGCGTCCCGCATACTTCATGCGATATACTTCCTCCGTTCCTAAATATAAGTCTTTTTAGATATTCCACTATAGAGACTACATTCGAATGTATAAAGACGCCTTTTAAAGTATATGTTCTCATTTTATTCCGTATGTAGTCTATAGTGTAATCTCGAAGACTTATATTTAGGAACAGAGGGTATAAGCAAGAAAAGAGATTCGGTGATAAATTGGTAGATATTTTCACCTCCTACCTGTATGCGCTTAGAAGAGAAAATGATTAATTGGTTGGAAGGACGTAACACTGTCCAAAACCTAGCTTAGTTGTGAACCCGTGCATTCCCATGGGCTGGTGTTTGTGTTTGCTACAATATGTGCAACTTCTTGTCACGTGATACCACACAACAGTAGTGTAAGAAATGAGAAATAGGAATTGAAGAATTCATAGTGAAAACATTCGGTTGTAGAATTGAACAATGAGAACTGAACAGAAAATAATAGCCATGGAAAGGAAACCACAATATTCACTACTTTTAATCATGTCAATGATTTTCATTTGGGTTCGATCAGAATTTAGAATTCAATAAAGAAGAGAAAATGTAGCAGTAAAACATATATATAATATAGGATTTTAAAATGTGTAGAGATTATAGTATAAGCATATGTGAAAATTACTACCCCACATAATAATAGGAAACACTAAATGGCCAAACTATTAATTGAATCTCAAATTACTATATGCAATCTTGGTGGTGTAATAATCTTAATATATAACCGGCGCAGTTTGAATCCACATTACTTTGTACTTGTCTCTATGCATTTTCTTTTCAGATTATTACATAGCTTAATTCATGACAATTGATATACAAATAAGCTAAATAAATTTTCACATATAATCTAGGGTAATGTAACCTTTTTTGCGGCAAGAGCAAATACTTCTACACTGATTAGAGGAAAAATGTGTCCGTGTCTATTAAAGCCTTAAAGTCTATTAGAAATCAGGTCTGGTTGTGCAACTAACTTGGGTTCACAAATTAGTTCTGTCTGACTTGGTACGTCCTCGTATACCCAGAAATTGTTCCAAAATAATGAATAAATAAATATAGTAATATAATAAGTATATAAAATGTTTAAGTTAGTAGCAGGTTGACATATATGCTTCCAAAGAGGTTGGAAATGGCATGTGCAAAGTATACAGTGAACCCTCTACTTAAATAGCTATACAGGACGCATTACATGCATGCATAGCCAACATAATTAAAAGCAGCACTCTGGGTCTGGACTTCAGACATGTGCAAGCATAGAAAGAAAAATTGGATATAGCATGGGGCATTGCACATAGACAAATTATGTTATGCATTGAACAAACATCATATTGGATCACAGTGGCTTGCGAGTTACCTGTAAGGATATTGATTAAGCACAACAATCAACAAAGCAAGAGTCATCAGCTGATAAACTGCTAGCTATGAATCTTTGCCTTTTGGAAAAAAATCTTCGCGTGACACATTAGTGAGAAATTGCTTGACTTGGGACTACACAGAAGCACATCCAATTTGTATCAACATCCACAATCCCAGTGCTGTGAAGTGTAGCTATATCCTTTGGAACAGTTTTTTTTCTCCTTCTCTTTATATTGGCTGCAGGCCCAACAACCACATTAGATAGATTGATTGAGAAGAAAGATCAATTTCTATGTAATAAGACTTGAGCCGATATAAACAATCAATCTGCATGGCCCCTATTTTTGTTAAAAAACATGAATTAGATGAACGTATACAATTAGTAAAGAGAAAAATTAGTCGAGAATCATATGCATAGCGCTCTTCGTCTTTTTGACGTGACTCCTTTGAACCTGAACTTGATAGGCAGCACATTAGGCTGGATGATGGCGTTGACGACTCCATGTGAGGGTAGTACAGCAGGTCCACCTTATATGCTTGTTTTGTAGAGACATGGTTCTTTTCACTTTGAAAGTGGCTGGCACTGGGACGGAGAAGAAGATAGAGAGATCAGGGACAACGATGGGCACACATTGAATTTTTCGCCTATGTTTCTTGATGTCCAGAAATGGATGTTTCTTCTTCTTTGGTCTCAAATGACCCTTGAAAATGATCAGATTATTCCAATGGCTTCTTCTTGTTCTGCTTGCGCCCTTGAAAGTTGGGTCACCCTTCGCTTTGACGACGCATCTGTGTGTTTGACGGTCAGCTGTACCGTTGATGGTGCCGCAATGTTTAGTAAGTCCAGTGAAACTCAATTTAGGACATGGTGGCTTACGGCAGCCCACACGACTGTGTGTTTTGTGATTATCAATTTGACGGTAATGGCCTATATTTTACACAATGAATTTATTTACATGGGAATTGAGAGGAAGTGGATATTAATGACTTCTTGAGAGGAAGAAACAACGGTAGATTTGGTTTTCATGGGGTAAAGAAATCCATGGATTTCTTGAGAGAAAGAGATCACGGTAGATTTAGTTTCCACGGAGAAAAGATAACCCATGGGAAGAGATAGTCAATGCAGTAGTACATGGGAATTGTATGAGTTCTTTTTCCCCAAATTGTAAAGATGGAACTTGGGTTGTACCTTTTTTGCCTTATATTTTATATTCAGGCAAATGCATCTTGATCTGATTTCAGTCCCCAAATTTCCAAAAACTTGATTTGATGATGGACTTCTTTTAGTCGCCCTTCACGACCACCTAAACCTATGAATACACACTACAATGCATCTCAAACGCATCCAGGCATCTATGTAAACTGCTTTTTACAGCAAGGCCAGACTATTAAAATCATCAAGAACCTTGTGCCAAGTAAAGTGTGGTCATCAAATACCAAGTAAAGAGTATTACCAAGAATTGTCTCCCTAGCTTTCCACCCAACTTGCAGCCTTTATCTCCCCTGCTTGGGTATCTAGGTAGACCCAAAATAATACAGCTTGGAATTCAGCGAGATGCATTGCATCCTTCAACCAAGGAAGAGCTATTGCCATCCCATCTACATACTGGAAATAGCCACTAATCCACCTTCTTCCTGAAAAACAAAACAGCGAGGAATAGAGTGTGGAGATATAACGGGAAGTACACATGAAGGTTGGCTTATCTGCTTGGAGGTTCACGACGACGACCAGAGGAACTCGGTGTGGTTAAGATCTGGCAACAAAGGATGCTGGTCTGTGCAAGCTGAAGTCGAGGTGCCGGCTGTAGGATTCGAAGTCGAGGCGCCGACCGATGGGAGAGAAGAGCCCCTGCGCAAGTCAGACGAACAACGCCGCTATGATTGGCTGGTCGGAGGAGGACCGCATGAGGAACCACGCCACCATGGTTGGCTAGTCGGAGGAGGGGCGGCATGCCTTGGATCCACACGCCGGTTTCAGTCCGTGCCCTATGCGAGGAACTCAGGGTTGGAGGGGAGCCATGGGAGAGATGTGACCTTGGGGGTGGGGAGAGCCGACGAGTTTGGAATGGTGGCAAGATCCGACGTTCCAGGGAGGCGGAGAGCAGGGAGCTGGCGGCCGGCGCTCCGTTCTTGGCTGGCGGCGGAGGCCTACGACGATGGCTGCTGCTAGGGTATTTTTTAGATGGATAAAGAATAGGCATGACAGAGAAGAGGGTATTGCACGGATGGAAAATTAAACGAACCGTCTTTTGGACTTGCCCGTGGCATTGTGGGCAATTTGTGTCACACTTTGAGGGTAAACTTTACATGTCCATACTTTTTTTGTATTTTGTAAGCTGATTAATCTACACCGTAATAATTTGGTCCCACCAGATGTACGGTTCTTAATTACTGATTAACGTGGTAATTTTTAGGGAGTCTCTAATTAGTATAGGTATAGATAGATAGATAGATAGATAGATAGATAGATGAGAGCCACTTATGGATTCCATACCAAAGATGACAATACCTAGATCTATTCTTGTTTTTATGCCTAGCTAGGGACGTTAAACGATAGCGCTTGTTGGGAGGAAACCCAATTTTAATTTTGTTCTTTGATTTTTGTTCCTGTTTAGTAATAAATAATTCATCTAGCCTCTGTTTAGATGTGGTTTTATGTTTTAATTAGTGTTTGAGCCAAGTAGAACCTTTGGGAAGACATGGGTGAAGTCTTTGAAATCTTGCTGAAAAAAACAAAAACTTTTGCGCTCACGAGATTAGATGCCATTTTTTACTAGAGAGCACTTTCAGGTTGATTCTTTTTGCAGATGATTAATAGACACATTCCTCACGTCCACCAAGTTATTTAATAATTTTTATAGTTCCAGAAGTATTCGTTTGATACAGATTTCTACAGACTGTTCTGTTTTGACAGATTCTGTTTTTCGTGTGTTGCTTGCTTATTTTAATGAATCTATGGGTAGTATCGGGGGTTATGAACCATAGAGAAGTTGGAATACAGTAGATTTAACACCAATACATATAAAGAATGAGTTCATTACACTACCTTAAAGTGGTGGTTTATTTTCTTATACTAAGGGAGCTCATGAGATTTTCTGTTTAAGTTTTGTGTTGTGAAGTTTTCAAGTTTTGGGTAAAGATTTGATGGATTTTGGAATAAGGAGTGGCAAGAGCCTAAGATTGGGGATGCCCAAGGCACCCCAAGGTAAATTTCAAGGACAACCAAAAGCCTAAGCTTGGGGATACCCTGGAAGGCATCCCCTCTTTCATCTTCGTCTATCGGTAACTTTACTTGAGGCTATATTTTTATTCACCACATGATATTTGTTTTACTTGGAGCGTCTTGCATGATTTGAGTATTTGATTTTTAGTTTACCACAATCATCCTTTCGGTACACATCTTTTGGAGAGACACGCATGAATCAGAATTTATTAGAACACTCTATGTGCTTCACTTATATCTTTTGAGCTAGATGATTTTGCTCTAGTGCTTCACTTATATCTTTCTAGAGCACGGTGGTGGTTTTATTTTGTAGAAATTATTGATCTCTCATGCTTCACTTATATTATTTGAGAGTCTTTTAGAACAGCATGGTAATTTATTTTGGCTATAAAATTAGTCCTAATATGATGAGCATCCAAGGTGGGTATAATAAAAACTATAATATAAAGTGCAATGAATATTATGAGAAGTTTGATTTCTTATGATTGTTTTGAGATATGAAGATGGTGATATTAGAGTCATGCTAGTTGACTAGTTGTGAATTTGAGAGATACTTGTGTTAAAGTTTGTGATTCCCGTAGCATGCACGTATGGTGAACCGTTATGTGATGAAGTTGGAGCATGATTTATTTATTGATTGTCTTCCTATGAGTGGCGGTCGGGGAGGAGCGATGGTCTTTTCCTACCAATCTATCCCCCTGGGAGCATGCGTGTAGTACTTCGTTTCGATAATAATAGATTTTTGCAATAAGTATGTGAGGTCTTTATGACTAATGTTGAGTCCATGGATTATACGCACTCTCACCCTTCCACCATTGCTAGCCTCTCTAATACCGCGCACCTTTTCCCGGTATCATACACCCACCATATACCTTCCTCAAAACAGCCACCATACTGATAACCCACAAGTATAGGGGATCACAACAGTTTTCGAGGGTAGAGTATTCAACCCAAATTTGTTGATTCAACACAAGGGGAGCCAAAGAATATTCTGAAGTATTAGCAGCTGAGTTGTCAATTCAACCACACCTGGAAACTTAGTATCTGCAGCAAAGTGTTTAGTAGCAAAGTAATATGATAGCGGTGGTAACGGTAACAAAAGTAAAGACAGCAAAAGTAATGTTTTTGTTATTTTGTAGTGATTGTAACAGTAGCAACGGAAAAGTAAATAAGCGAGAACCAGTATATGGAAAAGTCGTAGGCACCGGATCAATGATGGATAATTATGCCGGATGTGGTTTATCATGTAACAGTCATAACATAGGGTGACACAGAACTAGCTCCAGTTCATCAATGTAATGTAGGCATGTATTCCGAATATAGTCACACATGCTTATGGAAAAGAACTTGCATGACATCTTTTGTCCTACCCTCCCGTGGCGGAGGGGTCCTATTGGAAACTAAGGGATACTAAGGCCTCCTTTTAATGGAGAACCGGAACAAAGCATTAGCACATAGTGAATACATGAACTCCTCAAACTATGGTCATCATCGGGAGTGGTTCCCGATTATGGTCACTTCGGGGTTGCCGGATCATAACACATAGTAGGTGACTATAGACTTACAAGATAGGATCAAGAACTCACATATATTCATGAAAACATAATAGGTTCAGAACTGAAATCATGGCACTCGGGCCCTAATGACAAGCATTAAGCATAGCAAAGTCATAGCAACATCAATCTCAGAACATAGTGGATACTAGGGATCAAACCCTAACAAAACTAACTCGATTACATGATAAATCTCATCCAACCCATCATCGTCCAACAAGCCTACGATGGAATTACTCACGCACGGTGGCGAGCATCATGAAATTGGTGATGGAGGATGGTTGATGATGACGACGACGACGAATTCCCCTCTCCGGAGCCCCGAACGGACTCCAGATCAGCCCTCCCGAGAGAAATTAGGTCTTGGCGGCGGCTCCGTATCGTAGAACGCGATGATTTCTTCTCTTTGATTTTTTTCTCCTTGAAGGCCAATATATGGAGTTGGAGTTGGCGTCGGAGGGCCACCAGGGGGCCCACGAGGTAGGGGGCGCGCCTCCCACCCTCGTGGACAGAGTGTGGGCCCCCTGGTCTTCATCGTTTGCGAGGATTTTTCTTTATTTTTTCTAAGGTGTTCCGTGGAGTTTCAGGACATTCCGAGAATCTTTATTTTCTGCACAAAAACAACACCATGGCTATTCTGCTGAAAACAGCGTCAGTCCGGGTTTGTTCCATTCAAATCATACAAGTTAGAGTCCAAAACAAGGGCAAAAGTGTTTGTAAAAGTAGATACGACGGAGACGTATCAACTCCCCCAAGCTTAAACCCTTGCTTGTCCTCAAGCAATTCAGTTGACAAACTGAAAGAGAAAAAGAAAAACTTTTACAAACTCTGTTTGCTCTTGTTGTTGTAAACATGAAAGGCCAGCATTCAAGTTTCAGCAAATATTATGAACTAACCATTCTCACAATAACACAAAGGTCTCACAATTACTCATATCAATAGCAAAATCAGCTAGCGAGCTATAATAACAGAACTCGAATGACAACACTTTCTCAAAATAATTATAACATGATATAACAAAATGGTATCTCGCTAGCCCTTTCTGAGACCGCAAAACATAAATGTGGAGCACCTTCAAAGATCAAGGACTGACTAAACATTGTAATTCATGGTAAAAGAGATCTAGTCAAGTCATACCCAATATAAACCAATAATAATGAATGCAAACAGCAGTGTGCTCTCCAGCGGGTGATTTTTAATAAGAAGGGTGATGACTCAACATAAAAGTAAATAGATAGGCCCTTCGCAGAGGGAAGCAGGGATTTGTAGAGGTTCCAGAGCTTGGTTTTAAAATAGAGATTGAATAACATTTTGAGCGGCATACTTTTGCTGTCAATGCAACAACTATGAGATGACGATATCTTCCATGCTAAACAAATTATAGGCGGTTCCCAAACAGAATGGTAAAGTTTATACTCCCCTTCCTCCACAAGCATCAATCCATGGCTTGCTCGAACAACGAGTGCCTCCAACATTCAACGGGTCCCAAGGGGAGTTTTGTTGGCAATTATTTTGATTTAGTTTGCATAAAGCATGGGACTGGGCATCCCGGTGACCAGCCATTTTTCTCGTGAATGAGGAGCGGAGTCCACTCCTCTTGAGAATAACCGCCTAACATGGAAGATAAGGGCAGCCCTAGTTGAAACATGAGCTGCTCGAGTATACAAAGCAGAATTTCATTTGAAGGTTTGGAGTTTGGCACATACAAATTTACTTGGAACGGCAGGTAAATACCGCATATAGGAAGGTATAGTGGACTCATATGGAATAACTTTGGGGTTTAAGGAGTTTGGATGCACAAGCAGTATTCCCGCTTAGTACAGGTGAAGGCTAGCAAAAGACTGGGAAGCGACCAACTGAGAGAGCGACAATAGTCGTAAACATGCATCAAAATTTATTTACACCGAATACAAGCATGAGTAGGATATAATCCACCATGAACATAAATATCATGAAGGCTATGTTGATTTGATTCAACTACATGCATGAACATGTGCCAAGTCTAGTCACTCAATTCATTTAAAGGAGGATACCATCCCATCATACCACATCATAATCATTCTAATAGCATGTTGGCACGCAAGGTAAACCATTATAACTCATAGCTAATCAAGCATGGCACAAGCAATTATAATCTCTAAATGTCATTGCAAATATGTTTACTTCATAATAGCTGAATCAAGAACGATGAATCATCATATTTACAAAAACAAGAGAGGTCGAGTTCATACCAGCTTTTCTCATCCCAATAAGTCCATCATATATCATCATTATTGCCTTTCACTTGCACGACCGAACGATGTGTATAATAATAAGAGTGCATGTGCATTGGACTAAGCTAGAGTCTGCAAGCATTCAACTCAAGAGAGAAGACAAGTAATATGGGCTCTAAGTTAAAATAAACAATCATGCACATAAGAGCCAC